TGAAAAGTACAACTGTGCATCATCAGCATAACAGCGGAAGCCTATACCATGTTTATGAATAATTTTGACAAGACGTGTGATATATATATATATATATATATATAAAAATAAAAAAAAGCAAGAGGCCTAAAACAGAATACAGAACACACTGCAGAATTGTGTAGAGAAGTCACCATTTACATCTACAAACTGATAATGATCAGTTAAATAAGACCTGAGCCAGGAGAGGGCTGTTCCCTCAATGCCAACAACCTTTTCTAGGATCTTAGAGATAAAGATAAAATATTGGCCTATAATTGGACAATTGACAGGGGTTGAGGTCAGGTTTTGATAAGGTACATGATAGGTACATAGCCAATGCTAAGGGAAGAACTGATTATTTGTAGAAGAGGTTTGATCAATTGATCTGTTTGAAGAAACACATAGGTTAGGGATCTAGTATACAAGTTGATTTTGATGAGGAAATTAGTTCAGTCTCTCGAAGGGGAGAGAAACATTTTAATCGTTGATCTGATATTATGAAATTCATGAAGTCATCACTGCTATATAATGATTGTGCACATGTTTCCATTGTGGTTTCTGTTGATACAGTAGAAAATAAGAATCTAGGATTATTTTTGTTATGTTCAATTAGAGTGGAGAGATACATTGATCTAGCAGCATCATTAAGAGCTTTTCTATAGCTCAGGGGGTTCTCCTTCCATGCTGTTTGAAGTACTACCAATTTAGTTTGAAGCCATTTACTTTCTAATTTTGGAGTGGTTTGTTTTAAAGTGCATGTGTGAGTTATACTAGGGTGCTAGCCGTTTCTCTCTAATTGTCTCTTAAAATGGAGCTACTTTATCTAATGTGTAGCAGAATGTTGAGTCTAAGCATTCAGTTGCCTGGTCAGATGGTGATCCAATCATGGTTGGTAACTCTGGGAGATTACTGATAAAACTCCAGGCAGTTGCTGATATTAATGTACATTTGACATGGTAGCATGGTGTGGCAAAGCAGTCTAACCAGTGACTTTTAGCCGATCACTAGAGCCAGTCACACCAAATTATGGTGGAACAGGCCAACCAGAAATACAAATTTAGTAAACAACTGCACTAACTATGCCACCCCATTAGTGTAATGATAGTTCCCTATGCTTATCAAAAGGAACAGGTTCATTGTTCCCAGGTAGGAAACAAGAAATGGATGCAGAGATATGAAACTTCAATACTTTAACACTTTGAGGGGGAGAAAAAAAAAAAAAAGAAAAAAAAACACCCCTCCACGAAACACCACACACACGACAAGGGGTCAAAGTTAACCCAGGACAGATAAACCAACTTCAACCTCCTTGATTTTATAAGAACCTGTACCAAGACACTGCTCACTTACAGCACACCAGTGAAGTCATGCACAACCACACAGCACGCCGTGAAGGAAATACCGCCATCATACAGGAGGGACAGTCTAAGGCCTGCCCTGGGGGCTTGACTCCTAATACACAGGACAAAAAGAGAAAAGAACTCATCGTACACAAAGAATACAAATCAAAAATATTCAGAACAAGAATGTCAATAAAGCAGTCTAACCCCAACAAAAGAACCCCATGCACAATTTCAACAAAAATAAACCAGCCAAGTGACCCAACTATCACAAAACCCTCACTTATGGGGCTCAAGTAAAATATTGAGAGACGGGTTTACAAGCCTGAACATAGGGTCACAGAATCATCAAAAAAAAGAGTCCAAGTCTACCAGTTCCCCGCGAAACAACGCGGCTCAATGTCACACACACGGCACAATCCACGCCGCACAGGAAGCCCCACGAGGTAGCGCAGTTCGCGTCATACCGGAAGCAAACGGAGCAAAACAGCAGCACCACTAGATACCGCCCTGCCCTGCTAGGTAGATGGGCAGCTCTACCTAAAAGAAGAGAAACATTTTACGGTGCACCACATTAACGACCCATACACCTACCGTCATTTTGCCGCTAGGGTTGGAATTCCTAAAATATGCACCCGGAAGCCGAAGATTTTCCAACACGTTAAATTGCCAATCCGAGGGAAAAACAGCAGACAACCCACAAAGCCACAATTAACCCTGCAAAATAAAAACTATCACTAAGAAAATAATACAAATCAAGTCAAACCATCAGTCAGCGTTAACCAAGCAGCACATACCATCAACACCGTGGAAGCCATGAGCGGTCCCCAAACTATGGCGCACAACAGGCAGTGCCTCATGCCCCAGAATATATACACACACCAATCACGCAGTGAGTAAACCACGCCCTGCTCGTTACAACCATACCGGAAACAATAAATGTGCCATTTTAGTCTTAAAATGTAAACCAACTGCATGACTCACTACAATGGCAAGGTGCATATATTGTGATTAAGACACATTTAAAACGAGATGAGATAATGATCTGAGATAGCTTCAGACTGTGGAAATGGAAAACTATATTTTCTATATTTAATCCGATTGTTAGTATTAAATCAAGAGTGTGACCACCATTATAAGTGGGTCCTAATACGTTCTCATTAACCCCTGCTGAATCTAGAGTGGACACAACCGCTGTTCTCAGAGGGTCTTCTTGTTTATCAAAATGAATATTAAAGTCACCAACAATTAATGCTTTGTCTAAAGAAACAACCAGGTTAGAGATGAAATCTGCAAATTCACAAAGGAATTCAGAATATGGCCCTGGGGTCTGTAAATAATAATTAGTGGAATTGTCTGGGTAGACTTATTTTTTGTGGCTACATATGTTATGTTAGTATAAAGAACTTCAAACATGTTGAATTTATGACTAGGTTTATGTGTGACACCTAGATTATCATTATAAATAACTGCGACACCTCCTTCTCTGTTATACTGGGCTGATGTCAAAGGCTACAAAAGGGGGTAGAGCGTTTTCGTATTTAGCTCCTAAACTTTGGAATAGCCTTTCTGTTCAGTGTTCGGGGCTCAGACACAGTCTCCCAGTTCAAGCATAGATTAAAGACATATATCTTTAGCCAAGCATACACTTAATACATACATTGATTTAGTGCTTGCTAATATTATGAACAGCAGCTACTCTAATTCCTTTCTACTTGTTTCCCTTCTTCTACCCATCCCAAGGCACATAGAGATTGTGCCAGCTCAAGTAGACAGAGGCCAACCCTACGAGGATCCTGAGGCATCCAGAGATGAACCAGCTCCAGCTGGTTTCTGCCTCATGAGGATTTGGGCATTTAAAGCAACGCTGCCAACCCTATGTGGACTTTGAGGAAGATAACAACCTACAAATCAATATACACATAAAACGCTACATGACTATACATAAATGCAGAAAGGACATTGTTCTATCACACTCTTCAGTGTCACCCAAATGAGGATGGGTTCCCTTTTGTGTCTGGTTCCTCTCAAGGTTTCTTCCTCATATCATCTAAGGGAGTTTTTCCTTGCCACAATCGCCTCAGTCGCCTCAGGCTTGCTCACTAGGGATAATTTTGTCTAACATCTAGGAATGTTGCATGTTTTGTTTGTTTGCATGTTTTTCTGTTTCTTATGTTCTGTAAAGCTGCTTTGAGACAATGTCCATTGTTAAAAGCACTATATAAATAAAATTGAATTGAATTGAATTGAATTGATGTATATAACTGTATTTGGGAGGACCAGCTTCATTTAATGCTACATACTCATTTGGTTTAATCCACATCTCTGTTAAACAGAGTATATTAAATTCCTGATCAGTAATAGTTTCATTAACAATAAACGCTTTAGACATAAGAGATCTAATATTTAACAGTCTTTACTTCAGATCAAAGGTGCTGGCTGTGCATTTGGTATGATTTAATTTAATGTTTAAATTTATGTTAATTAGGTTACTAAAACAAACTTTCTGAGTATTTCTACATTTTTGTTTAGCTCAGGGAACAGACACAGTCTCAATATTTTGGAACCTGATGACTCAGTGCAGCTAGCATACGGTCGGTTTAGCTTGCTTGTCTGGTCCCTGGCCTTGGCTCTGGATTGTCACTGATTAACTAGGCCTGTTCTGAGAATATATGCTATGCTATGCTGCAAGAAATAAGAGCAGCACCTTCCTGAGTGGGATGGACACCGTCCTGCCCTAACAGGCCAGCTTTGCCCTCAAAACTAATCCAATTATCTATAAAGCCCACACTGTTTTCGGAACACCACCTGGACATCCAGAAGTTCAGCGACCATAACCTGCTGTAAGCTACATCGCCATGCCACATTGGAATGGGGCCAGAGCATACTACAGCATCGGACATCGCCTTCGCTAATTTACACACCTCTACAATGTTACGATTAGTAGCTTCTGATTGACGAAGGCATATATCATTAGCTCCTACATGAAAAACTATCTTTGAAAACCTATGCTTGCCTAAGACTACCTGCTATATTTGGCACCCTGGCTCACGTTGTACACCTAACTAAAGATGCTGGTGCCCCTAAAGGCCTATCTAATTTCACATGCCTTAAGATAGAGTCTCCAATTACCAGAGCTCTTTCAGGTTTCTCAGTGGGTGCTTCACTGAGGAGAGCAAACCTGTTAGACACGTGAAGCGGAGAGGTGTAGTGCTCCCATGAGCGAGCCCAAGTGTTAGCTTTGGCTTTGCGATATTGAGTCATCATCCTTTCGCCCTGCTGTGAGGGCTCTAAAGCCGGAGTTGGGGGATTGCTAACTACACCTAAGGCATCCAAACTTTCCCCTACAGAAACTACACTGCTCTCACTAACCCTCTCTCTGACGGAGCTAACTAATAAACACTTATCACAATTAAAAAAGCTATTTTATGACTGGGTTTTATTTTCGTACAGTTAATCATTTATTATACAGTAGGTGGCATAAGGTATTAGGCACTATCAACTCCCCAGACATGTGACTTGTAATTTTATCTTGAAGACTGTGGGACAATGCGTCCTGGCCAAAGCATTCTTAGGCATGAAATTGGCTCTTTGGCAATGCAGTGAATCCCCATGTGCTTTGGCCCATAAGGAAATCCACACAGGTTCCACCGAGATTTGAACTCGGATCACTGGATTCAAAGTCCAGACCATGGAACCTCTACACCAAAGCCGTTTCAGGAGATTCAACGGCATCGACCCCGAAAATGCTGACTTGAAATTACGGAGCATGGATCAATACATTTGGCTGCAAATACAATAAATAAAAGCTGGCTTCTGCAGGCTTTTTGAGTGATAACGCATTGTCAGGAAAACATTGCTGCTCTGTATGATTTTTATCTATCTTTGACAGAAAGTTCCCCATCTGAATGGAGGTGTGCTCCTCTCCGCTCGTTCAGTCAGAGGAGACAGGTTTAAAAGGAGTTTGATTGTTCGCTAAAGTCTTACAGTCCACTTTTTTTTTTAAATCCCTGTGACAATGTCCACACGTACAGTATTTACAGTGATTGGCCGGGTCGCTTTTGATATACTCACTTAGATACACTTTGGCCTGTTGCAGGACATTAAAATGGAAATAAAAGAATTGTTTATTGTAACAAAAGTAACAGTAATAATAAATCAAATAATTTATTAAACACTGGATTTTATCAGGTTGGTTTTGTAGAATAGCCCATTATTTGACTGTCATGTTACAGATTTTACTGTGTTGTGGAAGAAATGTTTATCGCAAATATTAGCAATAATAGATCACAGTTAATCATTTGTTACACAGGAGGAAGCATATGGTATTACAGCACTATTAATTCCCAAGACATGTGATTGATGCATCCTAATGACTATGAGGCAAGCGTCCTGGCCAAACCTAGGCTCAGGCATGAAATTAGCTCTTTGACATTTTCAGGGAATCCCTCATGTGCTGTGCCCCATAAAGAAAGACACAAAGGTTCCACCGAGATTTGAACTCGGATCACTGGAATCAGAGTCCAGAGTGCTAACCATTACACCATGGAACCGCTGCACCAAACGCGTTCCAGTAGATCCAACGGCATCGACCCCAGAAAACTCGGCTCCTATCCTATCCTTATGAATATACGGAGCATGGATCAGTACAATTGGAGGGAAGTACAATAAATAAGACTTGTGGTTAAAGCAAAGCACACACGTCTCTCTTTATGTCAGGAGACGCTTTAAAAAGTTTATTTAAAAATATTTTTGTTTTGGAGGATTAGATTCTGTAGGCTTTTTCAGTGATAATGCATTGTCATGAAATGGTATATAAATCGAGGGGAATACTTTCACGGTAAACAGTGCATTTTAGTGAAAATTAAAAACATTTTAAAATCATAATCAAGGACTCATACAAACAACAGATGGCGCTGTAGCTCATATAAAGCTATCCCAGCACAAAATTGACGTACTTTACGTAATTGAAAGGCACAATTCAAGTGCACTCGCATGCAGCTAGCAATAACATAAAAATAGTGTGCTATTATTACAATGTTATTCAGCAAATTATAGTGTACAATAACTAATATGTAGTTAGTGTTACGTGGGTGTTAAATGTTCCATTATAAATCCATAAACAATAATTATTACAAAAATACACTGAATATCACTGCAGATTGGAAAAACCCCAAGCTCCAACAATTTCCTCATATTCAGAGTATTTGAGGCCTAATATGCTAGAAAAATAAATATTTAAAATATAGCAAAAAGTACAATGATTTTGGAGCCAAGTTTTCCCCTTTCTGAAGAGGGGAATTTTAATTAGATAACAATCTAATTATAAAATAACAATCTATTGATAGTCGGATTATAATCTGAGTGTGCTGAATTCCGTCTGGAAGAAGTACTACTTTTGTGATTTCTTTTTTATTATCTAGAACAGATTCTACTCTGAAACATCAATATTAAAACATATACTGCTCAGCATTTCATTTTTTTTAACAAGAATGAAAAAGAGCAAAGTCTTAACAGCTCGATGCAATGCCAGTTGTACTCTGTCACAGAAAATAACCACTGTACATTCTTCATGAAAATACAGATGTTATTCATGTGAAATAAATTATATAGTATAAATCATTATTTTTTAATTCACAATATAAAGTTCAATTTGGACAAAATCCCAATAAAATTGAAGAGACTTTCTATCCTGTAAGTTACAGTAATCAACAGACTCAGATGGCACCCAAACTCTAAAACACCTCAGAACCTTGAGATACATAAATACTACTAGTTGTGTTTAATGGGATTACATGTCTGCTCAGGATCTTAATGGCATTACATGTTTAATTTATAAAAGCAAAATATCAACAAGTGGTGATCACAGTGTACAAAATATCTAAAAGTTTCTCCATCAGTAGAAAAGCCAGAGTTCAACTCCAACAATGCTGTATACTGGAATACAGATGAAGGACTGTGCAAAAGGAGGGCAGAAGTCCAGGCAGCAGGGATTTAGGTGCACCATCTGGGTCCTGCTCAGCACCTGACTCCATTCACTCACTGCTCTTTGTCTCTCCCAGCAACCAGTAGGTCCTCATCTTGCCCTTGCCCTTCATTTCCACATCTCCTCTCAGCTCAAGCTGGAAGCAGTTAAATTCCTGCAGCACATCATGTGTGGTGGACGACACGTGGATCTTTAAGGCTGCCAAAAAATGCCATTACTACAATATATATCTTTACTAAGTATAATGAAATATTGAAGCATATTCAATGAGTTATATTCAAATTAAAAAGTAATATTAACCATGACATTGTATCTGAATGACAATAAATTTCCCAATATGCCATGAAAATTCAAGTTTAATGGTATTCACCATTGTGCTATATCAGCACTGACTTTTCTTTTACACAGAGACTTGGGCAGCTTATCAATAGTTTTATTCAAATATAAATACAGACTAAAAATGTTTTTCCCCACTATACATGGATATGTTTTAGGCAATTATGCAGTACTGGCTTCAAAATAATAATTAAAATTACGACAAGTGTAGTTATAAGAAATTTTATTTCCAGAAATTTTTATTTCTAAAAGAAAAACCTTTAGAAATGCTTTTCTGTTTGAACAAAATCCACGTACCATTTTACATGGAGATTTCAAAGCTCACAGTACTACATAACTTACCCTCGCCATTGGACTCCATGCGTGATGATGTGTTCACTGTGTCTCCAAACAAACAGTACCGAGGCATCTTTAGCCCTACTACACCAGCACATACAGGGCCTGAAAATACACACACACACACACACACACACACACAGATATTAAATAGTGAAAGGCAGTTTGGGGTTTGTGCTCTGGATAGTTGACCTACAACTGGTTGATATTAACATAGTTGTTCTGTTAATAAAAAAGCTTTAGCAAGCTCTACTCACATCAGTTCCAGTCGTGGATATAGAGCTTTAGAGTCATTACCACTATACAGTAAATTCTCAGCATACACAGGAGCTTGTATTATGCTCACCGCTGTGGATACCAATGCGCAGTTTGAGCTGCTGGTCCGGTCGGTGACGAATCTTAAATGTTTTGACAGCTTCGAGCAGAGCAAGGGACATGCGGGCAATCTCACAGGCATGCATCCTGCCATTACGCACCGGCAGACCAGAGACAACCATGTAAGCATCACCAATCGTCTCCACCTACAGGACAACCGGCATATGGATGGAGTCAAGAAAGGTGGATCCTGCTCATCCAATTTGACAACAGCACTACACAGGAAAAAAAATCCTTTTTTCTAGATAATAATTTAATCATTACATCACACACTGATAAAAAATCTAGAATGCTGCAATACACTTACAGTATCTTTTAGTGTACTTGTTTGCAGAAGAATAAATCCTTAGCAAAGTTGAACATTTTGTCTATAAAATGTTTGAGCGAAGAAAAGAGAGTGGTGTGTTATAAATACCTTGTAAACATCAAAGTTGTCTATAATAGCATCAAAACAAGTGTAGAGATCATTTAGGAGAGTCACCACCTATATGAGAAAAAACAACAAATCATGATGATAAATCTTCTTTACAGCTTTTCAGAACAATGGATAAAATACAAGTTGCATAGCATCTTCTGTATATTATTCCTTTTCTTATATATTATCATTATTCAACAAAAAAAGAGAAAAATACTTACAGTTCAATGGTGACAGTGAAGGCAATAATAATATACATACAGCTTAGGGAGGAGTGTAACTTCAGTGTGAGTTGTATACCTGCAGTGGTGTGCTTTCAGCAGACAGGGCAGTAAAACCCACAATATCACTGAAGTAGATGGTGACAGAGTCGAAAGCCTCAGCCTGCACGGTCTCCCCCCTCTTCAGCTGCTCTGCCACTGAGCTGCAAGAAAAAAAAAAAACTGAAAACAAATGTTTGTACCACATCATGTAATACAACATCACACCCACACACATACACACATTGTGTGTGAGGGTTAAACTGGGATTTAGGGCCTACAGTTCTTTTAATGGATGCCAACCATATGGAAAAATACCATTTATGTTATTGTAAGGATATATCAACAAGTTGATATATCCATTTCTGTCCTAATGGCTTAATTTAACTAGTAGCCAGACCTTAGGGCTGGAGTCTTCAACTGGTAGTATTTCCATATTTTAGTGGATTTAACTGAGCACTTAAAAAAACACTAGCAGAACCAATCAACGTTTAAAAAAACATGACTTCCCTGTTGCAGCTAATTACACGCATAATTACAGGCTCAACAACAAAGTTTGCATGTATTCTTCACTTGATGTTAAAACAGATGTCTCGTCTGTTCTAAGTCTGTCTCGCTACTGGCAAAGTGAAGATTTGTCTTATTTATCGGCATGAATTAATCATTAATGATAAGCATTAAAAGATAACTGTTGCCACTATTCAGTCATGGTAGTTGCTTATCAGGACCTTTGTAAGCACGGACTTTTATGAAGTTGGACCATCAAAAATTTTCGTTTAATTAGGGTTTCAGTATATTAGTCAGTTTTGGCATCTATTTTATATAATCATTATGATTGTCACAATTACACCATGATATGATTTGCTTTTCCATCAAATGATAGTACTAGACCTCAGCATCACTTGCTGAAGGTAAAGGAGTTCTGTTCATTCTATTTGCACTTGCTTCTAACCAAGAATCACAAATAAAACCAATCTAATAAAGGTTATACAAGCTTACATTAGTTG